TTTCCCACTCCCCCTCACACGCGCACTTGCTCTGGGTGGATGTGTGTTTGCGGGGAGAACTACAAGTTAACAGTGATGGCAATGCACCGGTCACTCAGTTTTGGACTTTTTTGTATTTGCTGCGTTTTCTCCAAGAACATCTCACATAATTTAGAAATATGTGTGTATATCTCCATCTTTAAAAAATTAAAAAAAAAATCACCTGATTCATGTATTCACTTATTTTCAGAGATTTAAACTCCCGTTTTCTTTGAAAAAACTTACTCGAAATCCAAATACACGATGTCAGTGGTTATTATTTTTGGCTGCCTGAAAAATGGCCTCTTACAGGATATTTTTATTTAATCAGAATATAAAAGGCTTTGTCCTGAGAGTGATTTTTTTTTTTTTGAGAGAGAGAGAGAGAGAGGCAAGGGGCCTCCCCATCTACCACTCATGCCATTTTATAAATGAAAGACCAACACCAACACTAGAATTAAATGGCTTGACCAAGCTACCATATTTTCCAGCCAACTTCAGGCTGTCACAGAAGTCCCCAGTAACCAGAATCCCAGCCCCAGTCTCCCGATCCCATGGCAAAATACCTTTCCAGGCCACGGTCCTTGGAGAGCACCTGCGTTATAAAGGAGGCAATAATAGGAACTGAGAGACATGAAGGAAAAATGACATTTCTCTAGGTCTAGAGTCTGTTTTAAAAGGCTCTTGTATCCTGCTTTCTGCTGCCATTGGCCAATATTTATGGTTGGAAATGTCAAATCCTTTAGGAGGGATGCTAAGGGGGCTGTTTTGAAGTCTCTGTAACTATATTCTGCAGCCCTCTCTCTGTGTCAGGACATCAGAAAAGATCCTCTGCGGTTTTTCGTTGAAAGTTTCTGGGTCCTGAGCTCTATTCTCAGATTAGTTTTTAATGTCTTGCTCCTGTAAAACACATCTTCTGAGCTAGGTTGGAAAGCTACCAGGGAGCCTGATTTATCTGGGCTGGCCATCTCCACTGACCAAATAAACATAACCATTGTCAAATCTCTCCTCCTCTTTGTACTGAGGAGTGCAGAAAAGCCTAATCCAGCCTCTGGGGAGTCTTAACATGGGCCTGGTCTAAAAGCCCTTTTAACATCATGAAGAGCATTAAGATCAAAATCTTTTAAAGGCCAATGAGAAAGTCTTAACATTTTTTATTTTTACTTTTATTTATTTATTTATTTTTTTTTACTAAACTCGGGAATGAGGAATCCCTACTATAAATTTAAGATCAGTACCAGCATAAATGTTGACAACATGCACCGTAAGGAATGACATTTATTTAACGTTGTCCTAGTAAAGTAAAATTACATGGTAACAGATCTGCTTCCTTTGATTTAACAGAGAAAGAATGAAAGAAAGAGGGAAGGGGGGAGGGGGAGAGAATTAAATATGCAGGGATCACATAAGAATCTCAAATGACAGAGATGGAAAGATCATTTGTGAATAGGCATGATGTTTTTGTCGTCTTGCAGATGAAGAGGGTATTCTGTGCTGGGTGCTCAGCACTGACAATGTGAGGAACACTCACTCTCATGCCACTGATGAGCTGTGAGGTTTGATTCCACATCAGTATGCATATCCCATTTTATTTAAAAATCTACTAAACCTATTGCATTATGAAAATAGTTCAACAGATGAAATAGGAGTTAGGGGTCCCTCCAGAACTAAATACACTACTTTTAATAAATGAAATACAGCAGCCCTGACTCCTCCCACCTCTGCCACCTTGCTCAGAGGGTCATCACAACGCCCCCCCCCCCACCCTGAGGCTAGTTGTCACCATTTCTGGACCTTTTTCGGTCTTCCCCCATGACCTCATGTGTGCCAAAATAGGACCTGTTTTGGAAAAATGTTTATCCCCATTCCCATGTAATATTGGCTTCTCCCCACTACTTATAGATAGAAAGCCTTCTGAGGACAAGGAACCTGCCTTTAATACTTGGGGGGTACATTCTCAAAGGTACTAGGGTAGCATTTTGCATATAATGGGCATTCACTGAATTTTAATTGGTCCCTGGTGGCATGATGAACCCCACTTTACCTCCTTATCCGTCCTCTTTTGTTGCCAGCGAGGGAGCTCAATCATGGAAGGGATTTTCAAATGGAAACTCCACTGAAACAAGTCCATTTTCCCATGTGGAACTCAGAGTTGGCTTGCTACCTACTCAGCTCTCAGGCCTTCCTGCGGGGGAGCTCTTCTGTATAATTTAAGAGCTTACCACCCCTGCCCCCACTCAGTTACTGTAAGATAGCTAACGTGAGCACTCATCTTTGATCCCACAGCACCCAGTACCCGGCTTAGCACATAGTAGAAACTCAGATCTTCACCAATTCATTATTCGCTTTCAGGTCACGACATGGGGAACAGTGTGAAAAGTAGGGAAGGAGACAGAACCCAGTCTGCTCTTCAAAACCCTAAGCTTGACTTAGCTCCCGTAACTCAACACAACAGACTCAAAGAACAGGAAACCACAACAGACATACATATTCAGCATTTGAGGTTGAATTTATGCAACATGTCTTTTTGTTAAAGTTTTTCTTTTGCTGATGAAACTTTTTTTTGCCCCAGACAACAATTTCATTTGTGAATCCAAGCTCTTAATGAACTAAATTTGTTAACTGTGTTAACGACATTACCACGAATCTCTTTCAAAAAAGAGGAAAAGAGATTGGCCATAAGTGTGGCACAGCATATTTTTAGAAATATTTAAATAGGATAATAGGACTTAGAAAAAACATTTTCACCCTCCCCAAGGTCAGGGGATTCTTGCCTTGCATTTCAACATCATAACAATTTGAGACAGACCGCAGATTTTCTATTACACTGAAGATGCTCAACACATCAATTATTGACATTATCACATTCTGCAACTGATAATATGACACCTAAAATCCCCTAGAGCTTTACCCTGTTATCCTATAATACCTCTCCCTCTATACCAACTTCAGGTCAACTGAAGCTAGGGCCATATCTGCACAAGAGAGACCTGGCTTATTGCTTATTCTCAATAAAATGTTCCTCGACTTGTTAGGCTCATTTTAAAAAGAAATATATATAAGCAGCTTCCCCTTTGTTTCCAAGTTTCAATTTGTGCCAAAAATTTCTAAAATTGTAGCCAAGTCTAGATCATTGTATGTGTTAATAAAACTTAAAAAAAAAATGAGGGATTTAACCCGTATTAGAATTTCAAGAAGGAATTACCAATAAACCAGAGGAAATTTCATAGGACAGATGGGATTTGGGATGGGTGGGTGTAATTAGGCATTATTAAAGAATCATTTGGAAGATGTTCTCAACAGGACCTCTGAAACCCAAGGAACTAGAACTCAGACCATTACAAACTTTTTTTTTTTAACCCTTCCCCCCTCTTAACTTTAGGATTATAGGACTTCAAGACTCTCATCAGCTGTACTTAGTGGTGGTCCTGGTCATGAATATAGGTCTATGTGTAGAGTATTAAGTACCATAGAGGTGAGGGAGCACAAAATTAATATATCTTAGCCTTTCTTATTCAACAGTGATTATTCAGTCATCTCTTCCTTCCCTAAATTTGCACGGCAGTTGTCCATTTCCTGACACTTATAACATCAACCTGTTATAAAAATAATTGCAGTACTTTATCTTTTATTATTACTATAATTAGGACAGTCTCCTAAGTATTTATACTCACTGCACCTACCCACCTCCCCCCAAAGGGGAACAATGCAGAGGGTAGCCCAATGCTTCCCAGAGGCGTGCGTTTGTTAAATAATTTCCACTGTATAAGCAGGACTTTATTATATTTCTACACGGATCTAGAGGACGTGGAACTCACTCACGTTCTGGCTCACTTTCAGTTTTCCTTTTCCTGCAGCTAGTCTCATCTCCCTGGAGGGGTGTTAGTCCCGGGTCCCGGGACGCTCTGACTTGGGAGCAGCTTTGCGATCTGGAAAAGTGTTGGAGGAAGTCAGGCGCTGAGCCCTAAGGCTCGCTCCCCTGGCTGCGCTGACCCACCCCCGAGCAGGGCCCGCAGGGAAGGACCACGGACCCAGCCCGTGGACTCTGACCGGTCTCGCTCTGGCCACTTTGATCTCGCCCGTCTGCCTAATCAAGTTCATCTACGGAGCGCGACTGCTCGCATTCAAAGAGCGGCATTAAACAGTCTGATTATCGATACTCACTTCCCTCTTCCCTCCACCCCTGATCTAATTTCCCAACGCCAGTCTCTCGCCTCCCTCTCTAAACTTCCCATCAAAAGAGAATTAGTTCTTCTTCCTTCTTACCCCCGTTTGATGTGCAAATTTCTTTCTCTTTACACATTTTTCTCGCGGTGGCGGCAGGAGGGGGGCTGGGGTGTGGAGGAAGGAAAGGGGTGGGGGCGAAGCTGAACCAACTTAAACGGGGGACCTCACTCTAAATCTGCAAACCGAGGGTCTGAAAGGTTAATCAGCAACTTGCACCGGCCCCCTGGCCCTCTCGCTGGGACGCTTCGAGACACTTTGAGTTACCAGTTGGGCTGTATTTCACCCCGAATGCTGTTTACGGTGCCCAATAAATGAGTAGGACTGGAATAAAGGAGACAGGAGAAAAGCGGTTTTGCAGAACATTACAATCCCGCTCTGAAAAGTACTTCCGAGCCCGCGAGCGCAACCCCTGCTGCAGGGGGCGGGTGCCGGGGTCCCAGGTTCCTCCCTCCGCGCGCCTCTGTGGACGCGGTCCGCGCTCGCGCTCCGCAACACCCGCGCCCCGAACCTAGCTGGGCCAGGGGACCAGGCGCGCCAAGGAGGGCGGGCTGGGGAGGGCCAAGCCCCCCCCCCACCTCGTGTACACACACACACACACACACACACACACACACACACCCTCCAGCCCCTCCCAGCGCTTTGAAATCCCATCCCTGCTTTGTTGTCTCCCCCGAGGGGCCGGGATGCTCGGAGCCCGTGGTATAAAGGCGGCCGCCGCAGCGGTGGCGGCGCAGAGTTGCGCCCGCAGTCGAGACTCAGGGAGCGCGGGAGGCGCTCGGAGCCCCGACTGCAGCCGTGCCGGCGCGGCTTCCAGGGGCCAACCTTGCAGAGAAACGTTCCTGCCTTCGCTCGGAGCCTTCCCCGGACAGCGTCTGCGATGCCGGCCCCGGGCGCAGTGGGAGCCGCCCCGGTCTTGGCCGCCCTGCTAGCGGCAGCCCTCTGTGGTCACCTCCAGGTCGGAGTGAGCGCCACCTTGAACTCGGTTCTCGTCAATTCCAACGCCATCAAGAACCTGCCCCCGGCGCTGGGCGGCGCTGCCGGGCACCCGGGCTCCGCGGTCAGCGCGGCTCCCGGGATCCCGTACGAGGGCGGGAACAAGTACCAGACCATTGACAACTACCAGGTGAGCAGGGTCTCGGGGAACCCGGGACGCGGAGACCCCGAAAGGGGGGGGGCTCAAGTGGGGAAGAGCATGGAGAACGTGTTGAGTGTGTGCAGTGCGGGGCTCAGTCGGGAAGTTTGCGTCTGGGAGCCCTAGGCACACCAGCTTCGGAGAGGTGCGCGCAGAGGGCCGGTGACGAGCGTCGGGGTCCCGGAGCTTGGGGCCCTGGAGGCGCAGGTGCCTCACGCCCTTGCCTGGCCCCTCCCCGCAGCCGTACCCGTGCGCCGAGGACGAGGAGTGCAGCACGGAGGAGTACTGCGCCAGCCCCACCCGCGCAGGGGGCGCGGGCGCGCAAATCTGCCTGGCCTGCAGGAAGCGCCGAAAACGCTGCATGCGTCACGCTATGTGCTGCCCCGGGAATTACTGCAAAAATGGTGAGTCCGGTAGCTCCCTTTCGGACTCGGACCGTCCCGCATTTGGCCTCCTACGGATGGGAGGAGAATGCTCCCGGCTTTGGGAACCCAGTGGCGCCACCTGCGAACGGGTGCTCAGCCTGCAGGGTTCCCCCAAAATCTTTGGAGTGCTTGATCTCGGAGGTCGTGGAGCGCCTCCTCTTCCTCCGTGCCCCTGGCCCGCTTAACAGGACTGGTTGCCACAGAGTGAACCCTTCCCTGAACATGTGTCGAGAGTACCTTGACATCAACTGAGAAAGATAGGGAGGAAGGTGACACCAAGTATACAGAGAGCCCAAGGAAACCAGCACTGGCCTTAGCTGCCCTGTGTTTCTCTTACAGTGTCTCCCAGGGCTCTACCACGCTGGCCTCCCTCTCCTGGTCCCTGTTAAAACTGCTGTCAGCCAGAAGACAGTGATTTAGCTATCGGTGCTGGCCACCCTTAAGGGGGATCTTGATAGGCATCCTGCCGTCTGAATCCACCCCCCTGCCCCCAACCTCCTGCTACCTTAAAATACGTCCTCCGCCCTGGACCACAGATCCACTAAAATTTAATGTCTCAAAGAGGTAGGCTCAGACAGCCAAAAAAGTCTCCAGAAATAAGCTTGAGGCTGGCGACCCTCTTTAGGACCCAGTAATACTTGGGGCTGAACTAACTCAATCTCTGTAATATAGAAATTATACAGTGAAGTAACCGGTGGGTGAGATTGTAATCTTCCAGGCAGCTGGTGTTGCATTTGCTTAACTTGGTCTGCCAGTACCCATACAGCACCGAGGGCAGAGAAGTTATTTTTAAAAAATTTAAGTGACTACTTTTATTTCTTACCCCAAGGGTGATATTAACATGGGCAGAAATCTCACTGCCACTACCACAGTTGGTAGGAAAGTATTTTAAATAGCTATATTGGGGACGTTGCATATGACTGCACAGTGCACGGATTGATGCTTCTGTCCATCTGGGGAGTTTTGCATTGACACTAGGGAGGAAGTTTGGCTTGTGTTTAAAATAATGTCACCACAACGAAGCATCTCAAGGCGGTGCAGGCATAACAGACTGCCATGGTCAAGGCTCTTGGTGGTTAACTCCCAGCTGTAATGTGTTACTACTGTCTCCTGCTTCCTTAGGGATATGTATGCCTTCTGATCACAATCCTTTCCATCGAGGGGAAATCGAAGAAACCATTCTCGAAAGTGTTGGTAACGATCACAGCACCGTGGATGGGTATTCCAGAAGAACCACGCTGTCTTCAAAACTGTATCATACCAAAGGTAAAGGACCTCACCATTCATTCTCTGTTAGCACGTCGGGAGTGTCTTTGGGATTTTCTTCATGAAATGATGCAGACCTGGCAGTAACCGTGTACTTTCCCTATGGTCCCCTCCTTTCCAGGGCAAGAAGGCTCAGTCTGTCTCCGATCATCAGACTGTGCCACAGGGCTGTGTTGTGCTAGACACTTCTGGTCCAAGATCTGTAAACCTGTCCTCAAAGAAGGTCAAGTGTGCACCAAGCACAGGAGAAAAGGCTCCCACGGGCTGGAGATATTCCAGCGCTGTTACTGTGGAGAGGGTCTGTCTTGCCGGATACAGAGAGATCACCATCAAGCCAGCAACTCTTCCAGACTCCACACCTGTCAGAGACACTAAGCCAGCCGTCCGAACACCGTGGACTCCTTTGCTATAGTAGATGCTATGAAAACTGTGTGTGACTTCTATCAGCTCAATCCTAAAGGATGTACAAATTCTGTGGTTATGATTAAGCATTCCAATATTACCTTCTGAAAATCTGGAGTGTTAAGAGCTTTGTTTCTTTATGGAACTCCCCTATCATTGATTGCAGTAAATTACTGTGTTGTAAATTCTCAGTGTGGCACTTACCTGTAAATGCAACAAAACTTAATTATTTTTCTAAAGGTGCTGCATTGTCTATTGTTTCTCTTGCTATGTAAATTTTTGTACACATTGATTATTATCTTGACTCTAATATTCTATATTGAATTGAAATAAATAATTTCAGCTTATACTTCTTAAATGCTTAAACCCTTCCCTTTTAATTCTAGACCCTAGAATGCAAGGAGCTTTTGGAATGACAAATAATAGGTATCTAAACTTGATCATGGAAATGCTAGCTTTTTTCTGAAATGTACTATCTCAGTGCTTAGGTTACATTTATCTCTAGGCTGTGACAGTCCTTGAAATAAAATTTAACATTTAATACTACACAATGTTACAAGTATAGATAAATTTTGGCATTGTGCTCTCAGAGGGGGGTGTGTGTGTATATGTGTTCTAAAGGGACAGAAAGGTGACCTGTTTTAAGATGATCAGAGGAAGATACTGTCTAAATTTAAGACAGTGTTGGTCAATTCTAGAGTAATTTTAAGACATGTGTTCTCCGCTGACAAACTCACAATCATGGTGCAATCATGAGATTGAATCTTACATTACTACTTTCAAAAACAGCTTCAAATAAATTAATATCTACCCAAATGGTTAATAACTCTTGAGCAATAAAGTTTCCCACAAAATACCAGAGCAAAGTACTGGATGGTTAGCAGAAAGGGTGTGTGTGTGTGTGTGTGTGTGTGTGTGTGTGTGTGTGTGTGTAAATACAGTTGAGAAACACATGCAGATTTTGTACCAAATTATTCGGTTTGAAGAATCTTTACTATTTCATGCCAGGAAGACTTGTTCTAATTACTTTGATTTTAAGAGAATTATATAAAAACTGCAAATCCTCTCTCATACCTTTATTTCCTTCCCTTACTAGGTAAGGTGAATATTTCCCTTTTTATTTTCCTTAAATCTGTTGATTAGAAAGAGTGTAGAGATAAATTGTTATTAAAAAAACAAAACAAAACAAAAACCAGAAACAAGATCTAAAGTGGCTTTGCATCTTCACTTGCCAGCTTTGGCATCAGCAAATCCGAGACCAGGGAAGAGGGAAGCATGCAGTCCCAATTTCACTTACTCTGTAATATTCTAAAAGTCGGTATCAAAAAAATCACTGGGTTTAATGCTGGTTTAAGGCACTCCAGAAGACAAGGACTGATCAACTGTCCACAAAGTTTCCTTCAATAACACAGATGTCCGGGAATGTTTTTGTCTTCCGGGAAGTGGTTCAATTTCAAGGGGCTCAGCCAAGGAGACACAAGGTTTGGTTGGTTCTTCCCTAACAAGGCAGCTGGCAGGATGTCTGTTGTTCTGTTCGCTTTTGTCTGCAAGTTTCAGCCTCCTGAAAGAGAGGAGAAACTTTATTTTTCTACATGTGCCTGTTCGCTGACTTGCCAATTCGAAGGCCTGCCATCTCCAATAAAGCACAATAGAGGAGGGGAAACAGGAAACCCTTTCTTCAAAAAGAAAGAAGGGCCTCTGTTTTAAGCGGGGGAAAGAAGCAATCATTTAAAAGGCCTCGGTTAGGAGATCCTTTCCTCTCTCCAGGAGCCAGCCGCCGCGGCCAGAGATCCTCCGTCTCTGCCCACTTCAACCATGTTCCTTCCTTGATGATCCCCATCTTGTGACAGGGGTGGGAGAATAAGAAACCAACCAAGCAGGGACACTTCTTCCCATCGAGGCAGAAGTTAGGAAGGGATTTCCACCCAAAAGAAGTTCTGCACATTTATAAAGGTGTAAGAATATCAAGAAAACTGTAGATACTTCATTAGCTAGTAAGGCGGATACAATACAAATTCAAAAGAGGATCATTTAAAGATCTTGAACCTTTTAGATGGTGGCACTTCAATGCGTTTATGATTTTACTTTCAAACAATTTGAATGGAAAATACAGGAACTTGGGAATGCATTCAGAGGCTATTTTATCAAAGGGACGCATACTCTACACGTGTCCTCGCATCTTGCTCTTTCTGGGTCTTGCAGATCATTCTCTGTAGACATAGAGAGGTGCCTCGTTCCCTTAATGGTTGCAATCAGTGTGTAGGATGTTGGGATGGCTATACCATAATTTATTTGGAGTCATCATGGAGACATTTTAATTATTTCCAGTGTTTTTGCTTTAACATATTATGCCGCAAGCATAGAATTTTGTGTCCTTGTGCTGGTATAGTTGGTAGGAGACAATGACTAATTTCGGGGCACCTGAGTAGCTCAGTCAGTGAGGTGTCTGACTTCAGCTCAGGTCATGATCTCAGGGTCCTGGGATCAAGTCCCATTTCAGGCTCCCAGCTCAGTGGGGAGTCTGCTTCTCCCTCCCCCTCTGTCTGCTGCTCCCCCTGCTTGTGCTGTCTCTCAAAAAATTAAATCTTTAAAAAAAGTAATGACTGGGGCTCCTGGGTGGCTCAGTCATTAAGCGTCTGCCTTCAGCTCAGGTCATGGTCCCAGGGTCCTGGGATTGAGCCCCGCATCGGGCTCCCTGTTCAGCAGAAGCCTGCTTCTCCCTCTCCCTCTCCCCCTGCTTGTGTTCCCTCTCCTGCTGTGTCTCTGTCAAATAAATAAAATCTTAAAAAAAAAGTAATGACTAATTTTTGAGGCGAAATCTGAAATAAAGCCTGCTTTCTGTAGCTACTCATAAGGGGTGGCTTGGGCAAAATGTGGATGCGTGCTTATCACCGATCTAGTCATGATTAAACTCTAAGTTGTATCAAAGGAGGAAGAGGGAAATACAGGTTTATCCTAACGATCTGACAGTAATCTCTGGCATTCAGTGAAAGGTAGAGTTGCTCTAATTCCTTTGAATTTAAAATAATTATTAAATAAAATTCCAAGCAAGTCTTTCCCTCATCCTTTTTTTTTTCTTGGTTTACTGTAAGAGTTTAATTTTCACGTTTTGTTTAACCCGAACTCTATTGATAGGAGTGAGAATGGGGATGTATTGTTTAAAAGAAAAACCACAAATATGCAGCCTCAATAGGGTTATTCATAATTCAGCAGATCAAACCCCTCTATGGATTTTTCCCATGGTAAATCAAATTGCACTAATTAAACCATGGGATTAGTAATGTAATTATGCAATTACAAATTTTATTAGTTTCAGTATTTTAAGGTTTTTTATGTATTTAAGTAATCTCTACACCCAACATGGGGCTCAAACTCACGACCCCGAGATCAAGAGTCGCATACTCAACTGAGCCAGCCGGAGGCCCCAAGATTCAGTATTTCTAATTACACCATCAAATTAGCAGTCAGTGCCACTTATGAAAATTACAGGTTTAATCATTAACTTTTCCTTCACTTTTAAACTAGCTATATTATCTAACTTTATCATGCTACCAACTTTTGTAAATAGCTTTTTTTTTTAAACACTTATTTGAGAGAGAGTGAGCACAGCAGGGGGAGTGGTAGGCTGAGGGAGAGGGAGAAGCAGACCCCCCAGCTGAGCAGTTTCATGGGAGCAGGGAGCCCGATGCGGGGCTCGATCCCAGGACCCTGAGATCATGACCTGAGCAGGGAGCCTGATGCGGGGCTCGATCCCAGGACCCTGAGATCATGACCTGAGCCGAAGGCAGACGCTTCACAGACTGAGCCCCTTAAAAGAGTTTGAGAGAGAAATGGATAGCGTTACCGTTTGGCTTATGTGTTCCACTGAGTTCTGGATTACAATTTTCATTAGTTTGAAAAGACTAAATCAGAGTGTAGTACCAAAATAGAAAATAAATGCATTATTTATCTCTATACTGCAAGAGCAGAAAATAAGTATCTAATTTAGGCATCTGATGTCTGTGCAAATGGTTGTACGCATGGGCCTTTAGGTTTGTCCTAATGTAACTGCTTAGAAGTAGTCAATTATATCAAAAATGTGTGATTACAATACAGGTAATGATAATCTTAACTCAATAAACGTGCATTGAGCCTGCTTTGCTTGCTGGGCACTATGCCGGCATTTTAAGGGACGTACACAACACTTTCTCTAGCCTCCAGGAGCTAACTGGTTAGCAAGGGAGACAGCAAACAATTAGGGCTAAGAAGTGGTTCAGGACAGTGCTTAGAAACACAGCCTCTGGAGTCGCATAAAACTGCAAAGAATCATGGCTCCCTTGGTTTCCAGCTGCACGTTGTTGGACAAAGGCGATCTATCACCTCCCTGATAATACAGAGGGAATTCCAGCTTTAGAGTGTAGGTGTAAGGAAAAATGCATGCATTGTAAGAATATTTAGCATTACGTCTAGCTCATGGTAAGCACTCAATTTTAGGTCTTTACTACTAGACAATAAAACCTATACATTTTATTGTAGGATACTATATTACATATATTATATATAGTAATACCTGAAATTTATATAGATATATTCGTACCTGAAACAAATTTAGAGGTAATTAGCCTGTAGGTGCTCATAAAAAGCTTCAGGAACACAGTGGTCTATCAACCATCTTCTCAAGGTCCTTTTATTTCAAAGAAGAGAAACCATTTAAACCAGAGAAGGTAAAAAGGAGACATGGACTGGAATGATAAGTCATTAAAAAAAGAAAAATAGAAAAATCAGCATGGAAACCATTTTGCAGACTGGCTTCATTAGCTTGCTAATGATTTCCGCTCTGCTGTAATTTGCCCATGCCTATGGCTGGTCATGGGGATAGGACTTCCCTCCTCATCGTGCATGACACCTTTCAGCTCGGGTCAGTCCAGCAAACAGCTTCATCTCTCAGACTCTGAGACCGATTCCTGCGCTAGGTTCTGACTGGCTTAGCTTTTATCAGGGGTCCGCCTCTGGTCCAGTTGTCTAGCTCAGCTACCCTAATTTTTATTTTATTTTATTTATTTATAGTGTGCATGATGTGGGACTCCATCCCAGGGA